GAACCCAGGGCGGACGTGGTACCCAAGTACGAGCCCGTGAAAGTTCTTCTCGGGCAAGATGCTAACCCGGGAACCTGAAAAACTAGAAGATTGGAATTTTAAGAGGATATTCCCCGTCCAAGTAGGTGCTAATAAGCTTTAACTTAGACACCGGGTATGCGTGGCACTCATATACAGGCCTGTGGAAGTTTTTTTTTTCAGGTAAGTTGCCAGCTCGGGGGCCAGTAAAGCTAGAAAGCAGAAATTTTAAGGAGGTGTTTCCTAACAGTTCTGGCGGCCAGTCTTAATTTATTTATCTAGAAGCATTTGCCGGAAAAACCGGTGCCGGTGGCGACAAAAACTGCGGGAAACTGTGCAAAAAACGCATCATCGCACGGGCAACCCGCATGTTGACTAATTATTTTTAAAATAACGTTTTGCAGAGCAGTTCCAAGCTTATAGCTTTTTTGCATCATCTAGTATTTTGCTTAGTGTCATAAACCCATATAATTCTTGCCCTTTCCCTTTCACTGACGGGTACAGGACCTCCTCAGCGGCACAGGTAGCAGCGCTAAAATAGGAGAAAAGTGTCTTTCGAATCCGCGATAATCCCCCCGTCCTGGCAACCTGACCTCGCCTTCCCCCTCTCCCCTGCTGTTCGCTGATAGAGGCCCTACTCATCCCCCCTCCTTCCTCCCCCCCTCCCTCCCCATTCTCCACTAGGAAGCCGTGCTGGATCCGCCTAGAGGAGAGGGGTCTCCTCTCCTTCCGATTATCTTCCCACCTGTTTCCTGTGCTTATGAGACAAGGTCTCAGCTCTTTTCCAGTCATTATCTCAGCTTTTTCCCTTCTGTTACGACTCGCTAAGACCTAAACCAACAGCCCCAGTCTTTGCCTGTCTCTCTCACCATCTCTCTCATCCATCCCGCATTCCCCCAGTCATCGCAGCACTTCTCATTTTCCCGCTTTTTCAGTCCCCCTCCTAACGCCTCTCCAATTCCAAGCGGTCAGGCCGAATTTTCATGACTGCCACTGCCCCCGAACGTTTTAGCGTGTCACTGGTGGATTTTGGACACCAATACCCCCGTTCCGAACGTTGCCACTTATAGCACAGTGAATTAATTGCCTGAAGGACTAGAAAAATAAAGACTGTTTCTTCCTGACATCGCGTGTGTATGCTGCATGTGCCTGTAAAAAATCTTCAAGCTATTCACTTCGTAAATTATCTATTACAGGTTTTTTTTGGATTGCAAAAAAGCATTGCGATAATGTATCGTCGGCATTCGGAACGCAATGGCGAAAGGGCGGCAGCCGCCGCCGCAGCAGCAGCAGCACGCAACACGGTTTGCTTATATTTAGCAGTTTTTTTCTTTAATATTCAAATGAGCATCAATACAGGGAATACGTTGAGATTTTTTTCGTATAACACGTGCTGTGTGAGTTTGTGAAGTATTTGCAGTGGTTTAAAATAATTCCGGGATGCAAATCGATCTTTTCCTGTCCATTTTTGGTTCGGCTTTGTAATGGCTTTTACCTTCTATTCCGTAGACTCGAAGTACATGTTCCTCACTCTACAGCATGACAGTGTTGCTACAGTAACAAGCGTTTGTATCGCTGAAAGTAGACAAATGGCCCTACAAAAAGTTGCTGTACTGACAAAAGTTGTCGCTTTTTTTATGTGATACGATTTTGTAGGGATCGGAAATGATGAGGCGAGTTGTGTGGCGCGACCGTGATGATAATGTTGAACGGAACCGTCATGCGACAGGGGATGTGGTTTCCCGTTATCGCGTCGTCAGAGCGGAATCCGACCGACACCACAGTTTTGCGGTATATTTGTTGTGAGAAATCAACTGCTTACTGAATCTGTAGTTTAGAAAAAGACATTTAGACATTTAGGAATAGACATTTTTTCATAAAATTAGTTGAGATTTTTGAATCTGAAACTTAAGATTCGATTTTTTTTCTTAAAAATTTTGACGAATTTTAATTGCCAAGTTTTTCTCCGCATCTTCAACATTATTAAAAGCTTCTATTTAAGTCATATTTCTCATATTTTTTGGACTTTGCAATTCGTTCCCGAGGCCTTCCTGCGTGAAAGGCGCTCCAGCATAAAGGTAATTCCAGATTTTTTGATTATCCCTCTCAGTCGAATCCTTCAGTACCGATTTACGCAGGAAAGGAGAAACTCACGTCGAGTGCTTTTTTAAAGAAGGCTGTAAAGGAGGAAATTGCAAAGAGCACAAGTGCAGCTTTCTTTGGCAGATTCATCCCCGAGGGGAAAAATCAAGGAAAGCTCAAGAAGCTTTTTTCTTCGCAGCAACTACAAGCCGTTTTTGCGATTATTGGATAAAACTGGAGTCATATTCAGTTCATTCTGTCAGATCTATATCGAAATAACTGTAGACCAGCTTTTAAGCAAAACCTGAATTGGCTGTTAGCTGCAATATTTGCTGTTAATCCATGGACTGGATTTCTATGCCTGGAACCGGCAATCTTTTTCATATCAACAGTCATTCGTGGCAATTCAAGAATACATGTTTGCAAGGCAAGGAGAACAGCCGAATCGTGTCCACTATCAACAAGAAGTACAGTATTTGTAAAACCACTGAACTCGTTTGGTAAAGTTTTCAAATTTTTTTGAATTAAGAAGAGCTATGCAGGACCATATTCTGGGATCGATCTTGTGTGCATCTCATCCGGATTCGATGGGAGAAGATGTGGACAACATTGAATACTTGAATTTGCTGGCTAGAAACTGATAAACGCAGTTTGCTTCATCATTGTCGAAAGATGTGTGGGATTGAAGTTTCGAAGGATGCTTGACAAGAAATGAGGAATTTTTGGACATATAGATCAAGAACACTTCGGTACGAGAATATTCAGTTGGAAATTGTCAAAGCAACACTCTTTTTTGAAGCTATTCTCTTCGTTCTTCGTTATGGATCACTGGAACATGAAATGATCGCTGTGAAACAGGGGGCAGCATGTTTAAAGAGCTAAAAGTTTTTCGTCTTTTGCATACTGGATTTTCCATATGGCACTGTCCTTTTGAAAACGTATTCAAGGACAAGTGAAGCGAAACACATATTCATCATAGAGGACTCAACTATAAGTAATTCCATGCAGTTCCATATGTCGTTACTTGCACTTCCATACAAAGTAGTGCGCTCATTATCATGCGTACTTCTGTTATTTTATTTAAAATTTGGGGTTTTTGGCACTGAAAACTGTGCTGGCAGTTCA